CCAGCGCTTGAACCGCCCCTCTCCCTACGCACGCGCACGCGAGATTTGGCAATAGTTCGGACAAACTTTTTTGGCTTTGCAGCCCGAATGCGCCGAGGAAGAGTGAACCCGCTCCGAGTGACGTTGAGTGGTCGCTGAGGGTTAGCGTTGCCTGTTCTTCCCTCCTTCCAGAGTCCACTCGTCCCAGCGCCATCGTGTTCGCTAGCGAGGGGGACTTACATTTGAGGCCAAGGGTGACTTTCCCGCCCAAGGCACAGCGTTACATCTTTGGCACTGGAAGCGTGCTGTCAACGCCAGCCGGAGTCTCCGCGCGCGTTTCCAAACCCTGTGGTGTGATCCTGACCCCCGTGTATTTGAGAGCACAGTTTCTTCCAGGCCTCGAAGTTGAAGAGTTCCTGAGGCTGCCTCAAGTCCTTTATATTAAATTTTTTTATCAAAATATGCTTTTAAAAGAAGGCACAATTAATGTACATTTTTGTGAATGTTTTGTTCTTTGTAGAAAACATAAACCAAACAACTCTAAGCCAAATGCAGCTGAAAGTTCATTTTTCTCATTTTCTTCATTGTTGCCTGATTTACACACATTTGCAGCTGCAGGTGATTTCTAAAAGCTGCTCTGAGCTTGTCTTCCCTGTTTCCTTTCTAAACATTCTCTGATCCTAGTGTTTTAAGATGCCTCATCACAAGCCTTTCTTACTGCTGATCAGAAGTTTTTTCTTGTGATTCTTCAGCTCTTTATCTTTTCCATTTTTTCCATTCTCTGATTTTATATTTCTGCAACAAACTCGCATTAATTCACTTTATGACATATAATTAAGTAGAAATTCTTTAATGTACTTGTCAACTTACCCCTGCTTACTGCAGCAGTCAGGATGAATAGTACTCAAAATATTTTTTTTTTTTTACCATTGTGATGTAAAGACAAGACATTCCAATAAATGATACGGAGAAATAGGAGCCTGTCCTCGTTTCTAATGGTGTGAAAAGCTAATGGTTACGGTCTCACTAAATTTAGCGGAAAGCCTGTTTTGCATATTCTACTTTGAGCTGCACCAGTTCTCTGTAATGGCAGTGATCTTTCTTTCTTGTAGCATTTAATGAATTTCAGAAAGAATAGAGACAAATTGAAGTTTGGTTTACATAAACCATTATATATGCCATTTGTGGAGAGAATGCAAAGAGCATTTTAGTTAAGCTACAGATACTATCAATTGTTCAGTGTTGCGGAAACAGAGACAGGATGGAAACCATAATTTCTTAATGACTGCTTTATGTGACAGTGGGTGAAACACTCTGTAAGTTCATAGCTAATGAGCTATACACTCTGCATTGAGTTTTTCAGTATTAATGTTCTTTTTTCATTAGAAGAGCAACCTAACCTAGATCAGTTCCCAACTTAAGAATATAAGCTTTAAACTTATTTTTAAAAAAAAGAACACTGGTAGTAACAGCCAGAAATCCCCAATAGCAGGCTGTTTTGAATAGGTGGTTCCTTGTATCTGCGAAGCGCCCACAATGAAGTCAGCATGGGTCACTGCAGAAACAGGGCTTTATAGATAAGAGTCACTTACACAGGGAAAGGCATTCTGTTGTATATCTTAATGCACTGGCATCTAATTGTAGCGTGCTCTACAGATTGTTATGTCATCCATCCCGGCCCCCCCCAGTTTCCAGTTATACTGTGCATCTTACAGAAGAAAATATTTAAAAGTTATTATATGTGTGTTTCTTCTTCATTAAATACTTCTACCTTTGTGTGAATTTACTGTTGGATCACTGGTATAAAAATTTGAAAACCTGTGTTTAGTGTCCAGTTGTGCTAGCATGACCGAGTGTACGCTTTAACACCAGAGTAGTCTCTCCGTTGCTCGGTCGCAGTCTGCAGAGGAAGTGTTGCGCATGAGATCGGGTACTCCGTGAGTGCCTAAATACGGGTTAAGGACTTACTGTTAGCACTGAAATGTGGGCAGTGTGGCCCTAGGCTTTTTCTTAACCCTGCAATTTGGTTTTGGTCTGAAAATTTAGGAGAAAAGGCTTTTCTGAGCGAAACTGGTGAATTGTAACACTAGGTGGCACTTAAACACAGCTAACAAAGACTTTTAAGTCTTGCAACACGCAAAAACAGTCAAACACATTCTGTTCTAACATGCAGTTAATTATATCCTCAAAATGATGTCTTGGATTGATATTACTAAACAAACATGTATAAAATGTAATTACAGACAAGTGAAATAAATACTGTGGGCTTATAATTGCAAGATATGTTTTTTGCTCGTAATATGCTACACACCTGTGCGTAGTTTATATAGCTAGTATTTTATTTTGTCATTTTTACTAACATTTAGAATGGCGTGATTTAGATTTATGTGCTTTTATTTACTGGTACCAATTTTTGCCATATGTCAGTTTTTAAAAAATGGAATGTTTTTATCTATTGGGATTTTAAACCAGGAGTATTTCAAAGGGAAAACAGTAAGAGGATTTTTTTTTTACGAAACCACTTCAAAACTTTTTTAAAAAAATGCATATATTTTAGGTTTTTTTTCTAGTTGCTTTGCTTTCCTCTTCTTTCTTTACTCGCCTTTTGGAGGTACACCTCTATTGCTATAGTAGTGTAATATCCACTTGGAGGTCCAAAGTCTATCTGTTCATAAACATTTCTTAAGTAAGTGATACCATTGGTAAAATATACCAGGCCTACGGGACAGTCTGATAGCCGTGAAATCCCACCAGAGCAGCTTGTGGCCATCACCTTGGGTTCTGGCAGTTTTTCCTATCAACTGCAGAAGTGGTCAGCAGCATTTCAATCAGCTGCACAAGCCCCGTGCGAAGCTGCTTTAAGTTACAACAAGCTAAAAAAGGCAAAGGCGTGCAAGGAAATGTCCTCCCAGTGCAGGAACAAGCTAATAAAGCATCAGACCTAGAAAGTGCAAAAATGGACTGCTAGTTCCTCTTTCCCCTCACATTCCAATATTCAGGGAGTTGCTCTCAACCTTACTGTTGGCAGGTCCCATACCGTTCTCTGTTCAGGGTTACAAATAGTTGTCTTCTCTGTGGTAGTAAGATTAGGGCTGAGATGAAGCTCATAAATGGTAGGACAACCCAACAACACGTTCCTGTATTTGCGTTTTGTTATTTGGCAGCTAAAGATGTGTATTTGGTGTGGGAAGGACTGGTACACATGTGGAAGTCACACTTTGTTGAAAGAAAATTGCCAATGCATTACTGTATGCTTAGACAAACTGAAGTGAACAATCTGTGCGTGCTTGTTGGCATTGCCCCCAGGCGTCAGGAGACCTCTTTCAGGTGAACCAGAACCCAAACAACAGACCAGGATGGGCTGAGCACCCATCAGCTGGTGCAAAAATAGTTGTCCCAACTAGAGACAGTCGGATCAAGAACAAGGGTTGGAAGACCTGTGGGAAGAGGAAGAACCGACAGCTGCCAGTGTGAGGGCACAGAGGTGGTGGAACTCCAACTGGTTTGCGTGCCTGTGAAAGCGCGGTATAAAACTGTGGGTCAGGCCAGGCCAAACTCTGTCCAACGTCAAAGAAAAAAATAATGGTTGTGGTAGAAGGACATAAGGAAGAGAATATTTCCTTTACACTTCAAGTAGAGATAAAAACCTGATAAATAGGACAAAGCTAAGAAAATCAATATTCAGCTGCAAATTATTTGATTTTTCTTTTTTTTATTGTCATATTGTCATATTGTCA